CACCTTAGCAATGATCTCACTAATGCTCCGTCTTAACTATCTCCACAAATGTCTCACCTTAGCAATGATTTCACTGATGCTCCGTCTTAACTAACTATCTCCACAAATGTCTCACCTTAGCAATGATCTCACTAATGCTCCGTCTTAACTAACTATCTCCACAAATGTCTCACCTTAGCAATGATCTCACTAATGCTCCGTCTTAACTAACTATCTCCACAAATGTTTCACCTTAGCAATGATCTCACTGATGCTCCGTCTTAACTAACTATCTCCACAAATGTCTCACCTTAGCAATGATTTCACTAATGCCCCGTCTTAACTAACTATCTCCACAAATGTCTCACCTTAGCAATGATTTCACTAATGCCCCGTCTTAACTAACTATCTCCACAAATGTCTCACCTTAGCAATGATTTCACTAATGCTCCGTCTAAACTAACTATCTCCACAAATGTCTCACCTTAGCAATGATTTCACTAATGTTCAGTCTTAACAATCTCCACAAATGTTTCACCTTAGCAATGATCTGACTAATGCTCCGTCTAAACTAACTATCTCCACAAATGTTTCACCTTAGCAATGATCTCACTAATGCTCCGTCTTAACTAACTATCTCCACAAATGTCTCACCTTAGCAATGATTTCACTGATGCTCCGTCTTAACTAACTATCTCCACAAATGTCTCACCTTAGCAGTGATCTCACTAATGTTCCGTCTTAACAATCTCCACAAATGTTTCACCTTAGCAATGATCTCACTGATGCTCCGTCTTAACAAACAATCTCAACAAATGTTTCACCTTAGCAATGATCTCACTGATGCTCCGTCTTAACAAACAATCTCAACAAATGTTTCACCTTAGCAATGATTTCACTAATGCTCCGTCTTAACTAACTATCTCCACAAATGTCTCACCTTAGCAGTGATCTCACTAATGTTCCGTCTTAACAATCTCCACAAATGTTTCACCTTAGCAATGATCTCACTGATGCTCCGTCTTAACAAACAATCTCAACAAATGTTTCACCTTAGCAATGATCTCACTGATGCTCCGTCTTAACAAACAATCTCAACAAATGTTTCACCTTAGCAATGATCTCACTGATGCTCCGTCTTAACAAACAATCTCAACAAATGTTTCACCTTAGCAATGATCTCACTAATGTTCCGTCTTAACTAACTATCTCCACAAATGTTTCACCTTAGCAATGATTTCACTAATGCTCCGTCTTAACAAACAATCTCAACAAATGTTTCACCTTAGCAGTGATCTCACTAATGCTCCGTCTTAACTAACTATCTCCACAAATGTCTCACCTTAGCAGTGATCTCACTGATGCTCCGTCTTAACTAACTATCTCCACAAATGTCTCACCTTAGCAATGATCTCACTAATGCTCCGTCTTAACTAACTATCTCCACAAATGTCTCACCTTAGCAGTGATCTCACTAATGCTCCGTCTTAACTAACTATCTCCACAAATGTCTCACCTTAGCAGTGATCTCACTAATGCTCCGTCTTAACTAACTATCTCCACAAATGTCTCACCTTAGCAATGATCTCACTAATGCTCCGTCTTAACTAACTATCTCCACAAATGTCTCACCTTAGCAGTGATCTCACTAATGCTCCGTCTTAACTAACTATCTCCACAAATGTCTCACCTTAGCAATGATCTCACTAATGCTCCGTCTTAACTAACTATCTCCACAAATGTCTCACCTTAGCAATGATCTCACTAATGCTCCGTCTTAACTAACTATCTCCACAAATGTCTCACCTTAGCAATGATCTCACTAATGCTCCGTCTTAACTAACTATCTCCACAAATGTCTCACCTTAGCAGTGATCTCACTAATGCTCCGTCTTAACTAACTATCTCAACAAATGTCTCACCTTAGCAATGATCTCACTAATGCTCCGTCTTAACTAACTATCTCCACAAATGTCTCACCTTAGCAATGATCTCACTAATGCTCCGTCTTAACTAACTATCTCCACAAATGTCTCACCTTAGCAATGATCTCACTAATGCTCCGTCTTAACTAACTATCTCCACAAATGTCTCACCTTAGCAATGATCTCACTAATGCTCCGTCTTAACTAACTATCTCCACAAATGTCTCACCTTAGCAAGTGATCTCACTAATGCTCCGTCTTAACTAACTATCTCCACAAATGTCTCACCTTAGCAGCAGTGATCTCACTAATGCTCCGTCTTAACTAACTATCTCCACAAATGTCTCACCTTAGCAATGATCTCACTAATGCTCCGTCTTAACTAACTATCTCCACAAATGTCTCACCTTAGCAGTGATCTCACTAATGCTCCGTCTTAACTAACTATCTCCACAAATGTCTCACCTTAGCAATGATCTCACTAATGCTCCGTCTTAACTAACTATCTCCACAAATGTCTCACCTTAGCAATGATCTCACTAATGCTCCGTCTTAACTAACTAACTATCTCCACAAATGTCTCACCTTAGCAATGATCTCACTAATGCTCCGTCTTAACTAACTATCTCCACAAATGTCTCACCTTAGCGGTGATGTCTCACTTTCATGATCTCACTAATGCTCCGTCTTAACTAACTATCTCCACAAATGTCTCACCTTAGCAATGATCTCACTAATGCTCCGTCTTAACTAACTATCTCCACAAATGTCTCACCTTAGCAATGATCTCACTAATGCTCCGTCTAAACTAACTATCTCCACAAATGTCTCACCTTAGCAATGATCTCACTAATGCTCCGTCTTAACTAACTATCTCCACAAATGTCTCACCTTAGCAATGATCTCACTAATGCTCCGTCTTAACTAACTATCTCCACAAATGTCTCACCTTAGCAATGATCTCACTAATGCTCCGTCTTAACTAACTATCTCCACAAATGTCTCACCTTAGCAGTGATCTCACTAATGCTCCGTCTAAACTAACTATCTCCACAAATGTCTCACCTTAGCAATGATCTCACTAATGCTCCGTCTTAACTAACTATCTCCACAAATGTCTCACCTTAGCAGTGATCTCACTAATGCTCCGTCTTAACTAACTATCTCCACAAATGTCTCACCTTAGCAGTGATCTCACTAATGCTCCGTCTAAACTAACTATCTCCACAAATGTCTCACCTTAGCAATGATCTCACTAATGCTCCGTCTTAACTAACTATCTCCACAAATGTCTCACCTTAGCAGTGATCTCACTAATGCTCCGTCTAAACTAACTATCTCCACAAATGTCTCACCTTAGCAGTGATCTCACTAATGCTCCGTCTTAACTAACTATCTCCACAAATGTCTCACCTTAGCAATGATCTCACTAATGCTCCGTCTTAACTAACTATCTCCACAAATGTCTCACCTTAGCAATGATCTCACTAATGCTCCGTCTAAACTAACTATCTCCACAAATGTCTCACCTTAGCAGTGATCTCACTAATGCTCCGTCTTAACTAACTATCTCCACAAATGTCTCACCTTAGCAATGATCTCACTAATGCTCCGTCTAAACTAACTATCTCCACAAATGTCTCACCTTAGCAGTGATCTCACTAATGCTCCGTCTTAACTAACTATCTCCACAAATGTCTCACCTTAGCAATGATCTCACTAATGCTCCGTCTAAACTAACTATCTCCACAAATGTCTCACCTTAGCAGTGATCTCACTAATGCTCCGTCTAAACTAACTATCTCCACAAATGTCTCACCTTAGCAGTGATCTCACTAATGCTCCGTCTTAACTAACTATCTCCACAAATGTCTCACCTTAGCAATGATCTCACTAATGCTCCGTCTTAACTAACTATCTCCACAAATGTCTCACCTTAGCAATGATCTCACTAATGCTCCGTCTTAACTAACTATCTCCACAAATGTCTCACCTTAGCAATGATCTCACTAATGCTCCGTCTAAACTAACTATCTCCACAAATGTCTCACCTTAGCAATGATCTCACTAATGCTCCGTCTTAACTAACTATCTCCACAAATGTCTCACCTTAGCAGTGATCTCATTAATGCTCCGTCTAAACTAACTATCTCCACAAATGTCTCACCTTAGCAATGATCTCACTAATGCTCCGTCTTAACTAACTATCTCCACAAATGTCTCACCTTAGCAGTGATCTCACTAATGCTCCGTCTTAACTAACTATCTCCACAAATGTCTCACCTTAGCAATGATCTCACTAATGCTCCGTCTTAACTAACTATCTCCACAAATGTCTCACCTTAGCAATGATCTGACTAATGCTCCGTCTTAACTAACTATCTCCACAAATGTCTCACCTTAGCAGTGATCTCACTAATGCTCCGTCTAAACTAACTATCTCCACAAATGTCTCACCTTAGCAATGATCTCACTAATGCTCCGTCTTAACTAACTATCTCCACAAATGTCTCACCTTAGCAGTGATCTCACTAATGCTCCGTCTTAACTAACTATCTCCACAAATGTCTCACCTTAGCAGTGATCTCACTAATGCTCCGTCTTAACTAACTATCTCCACAAATGTCTCACCTTAGCAATGATCTCACTAATGCTCCGTCTAAACTAACTATCTCCACAAATGTCTCACCTTAGCAATGATCTCACTAATGCTCCGTCTTAACTAACTATCTCCACAAATGTCTCACCTTAGCAGTGATCTCACTAATGCTCCGTCTTAAACTAACTATCTCCACAAATGTCTCACCTTAGCAATGATCTCACTAATGCTCCGTCTTAACTAACTATCTCCACAAATGTCTCACCTTAGCAGTGATCTCACTAATGCTCCGTCTTAACTAACTATCTCCACAAATGTCTCACCTTAGCAGTGATCTCACTAATGCTCCGTCTTAACTAACTATCTCCACAAATGTCTCACCTTAGCAATGATCTCACTAATGCTCCGTCTTAACTAACTATCTCCACAAATGTCTCACCTTAGCAATGATCTCACTAATGCTCCGTCTTAACTAACTATCTCCACAAATGTCTCACCTTAGCAATGATCTCACCAACCATTCCGTCCCAAATCCCTGAAGTCATGTTTTTCACACCGTAAGCGTTTTTAGGACTGACGTAGATTTCAAAGTTGAACTTGAGGTCCTTTTTCAGTTCCTTCAGCAGATCGATGGTGAAACCTTCGTACCTGTCGTTCCCCTCGTTGTTCATGGAGGAGTTTGGGGACTTCAGCATCACAAAGGGCTCCTCCTGCATGAACACACGTTGAAACAATTTGGAGGACAGGTTGCTCTTTTTCCACTCAGGTAGCGATGTGCATACACGTATATGTGTGTGCATGCGCGCGTGTCTGTGAGGCTGTTTATACTAGATGTGTTAGCCGACTTAGCTGTCATGAATAAGTGAGTGAGTTTTGTTTTACTTTTAGCAATATTCCAGCAATATCACGGCGGGGACACCAGAAACGGGCCTCACACATAAGCTGTGCAGAGTTGCGTCCCTTTGGGCACGACCAAAAAACCCCGTCGGTTTCAGTAAAATGGTAAAGGCCCACCCATGTTTTGCTCTAACATTAAGGTGACACACACCTGCTGTTTAGTGAGTGAGTATGGTTTTACGCCGCTTTTAGCAATATTCCAGCAGTATCACGGCTGGGACACCACAAATGGGCTTCATACATTGTACTCATGGAGAATCGAACCCGGATTTCAGCGTGACGAGCGGACGCTTTAACCATCAGGCTACTTCACCGTCAAGGTGGCGTTCAAACTAGCAATGACGAAGCAATATACCCTCAACCGCTGTATGTGTCGCACTCTATCTGTCCATGTAGTGAAACTGCATTAGTGAACTACTTTCTCTGGGGCATTTATTTCCCTGGAGCAGTTTTCGCTAAGACCTTTATCCTCGATACATTTACCCTGACCATATTGATTACGGAAGTAGTTCCATTCGATACTAATCACCTTTGACATGCGCAGTAATCGTCTTACAGCTTCAGTGTCACACGAACATATATATACAGCATGTACTTACCTCCACAACCACCACCTTGACAAGCTCAGGGAAAATTCCAGATTGGGTGGAATCCTCGTCGTTCTCGTCGTCAACCTGTGTCATGTTGAGCCTTTGTTCGGCGCTGTTGCCGGACGGAATCCATACTCCAACCTAAGTTCCAGGTTAAACATCATGGAAAATATTTAATGCGAGCGTCAGCCGCGAACGCCATTTTATGGAAAGACTTACGTCCAGTTTAAATGGTAACGTTTAAGGCCAGGCATGAATATTGAAAACATATATCGATGGTTCTTACAAGTCATTGACTGTAAAGCATGTAAAAGTAAGGCTTGACATATTAGTAATGATTAACGCCAGGTACTACGATGACACATTGGGACCATCCGATCCTCATTCGGCTGTACAAGAAGCCTGGAATATCTGTTCTATACCGACCCGGGGGGCGATTAAATGTATTTAGAAAGGTAAGTTATATCATCTCGCGTAAATGTCCAACCAACCAACGGTAGAGAAACGAGTGTGAGTGAGTGTGTTTAGTTTTACGACGCACTCAGCAATATCCCAGCTATATGGCGGCGGTCTGTAAATAATCGAGTCTGGAACAGACAATCCAGTGATCAACAGCATGAGCATTGATCTGCGCAATTGGGAACCAATGACATGTGTCAACCAAGTCAGCGAGCCTGACCACACGATCCCGTTAGTCGCCTCTTACGACAAGCATAGTCGCCTTTTATGGCAAGCACATGGGTTGCTGAAGACCTATTCTACCCCGGATCTTCACGGGTCGGTAGAGAAACGAATGAACGCACGAAAGAACGAACGAACGAACGAACGGACTGTCAAATGAACGACTGATAATCAAATGCTCACCTTCTTGTACATGTCCTCTCCCCCGTGGTTGTACAGATACAGCGTGTAGTTCACTCTCTGACCTGTCCCGATGAAGCGAATCAGGCCAGTATCTCCATGAAGTCGGACCTGGACATAGAACAAGGTACAAAATACCACAACACGCTAAACAGTTGATGGATGGAGATGTTGGTCAAAGCATATTTTGAAAACATATCTGCAGCTTATAGTCACAAGAATGCTCTCAAACTGTATCTTTCCTCTCCTGTTTCAACAAATTAACATTAAATTTTGATTTAGTTGCTTCTTTTTATTGTGGAACGCACTGCATGATGTTTAAGTCAACATAGTGTGGCATATAGTTCTCTCTTATTACTGTTGTAAGTGAGTGAGTGAGTGAGTTTGGTTTTAAGCCGCACTTAGTAATATTCCAGCTATATGGCGGCGGTCTGTAAATAATCGAGTCTGGACCAGACAATCCAGTGATCAACAGCATGAGTATCGATCTACGCAACTGGGATACGATGTGTCAACCAAGTCAGCGAGCCTGACCACCCGATCCCGTTAGTCACCTCTTACGACAAGCATGGGTTACTGAAGACCAATTCTAACCCGTATCTTCACGGTTACGACAAGCATGGGTTACTGAAGACCAATTCTAACCCGTATCTTCACGGTTACGACAAGCATGGGTTACTGAAGACCATTTCTAACCCGTATCTTCACGGTTACGACAAGCATGGGTTACTGAAGACCAATTCTAACCCGTATCTTCACGGTTACGACAAGCATGGGTTACTGAAGACCAATTCTAACCCGTATCTTCACGGTTACGACAAGCATGGGTTACTGAAGACCAATTCTAACCCGTATCTTCACGGTTACGACAAGCATGGGTTACTGAAGACCAATTCTAACCCGTATCTTCACGGTTACGACAAGCATGGGTTACTGAAGACCAATTCTAACCCGTATCTTCACGGTTACGACAAGCATGGGTTACTGAAGACCAATTCTAACCCGTATCTTCACGGTTACGACAAGCATGGGTTACTGAGACCAATTCAAATCCGTATCTTACACGGTTACGACAAGCATGGAGTTACTGAAGACCAATTCTAACCATTATCTTCACTGTTACGACAAGCATGGATTACTGAAGTTACCACGGTTACGACAAGGACATAGGTTACTGAAGATTCGTCAACTGGATTCTAAACATTTCCATATAACAGACTGACCATTAAAATTATGTCAAAACTTGACAGGTGATACAAACGAAAAGGTCGCTAACCCCCTTTAACGCCTTCATAAGTATCTTCCGTTTGATTGTATCGGTAGGTTCCCTGATCTTATTCAGGTAGTCAGCTAAGGCATCCTTGGTGACGCTGGCGGCATCCTTGGCGATCGCAACGTTGGCATCACCTTTTACGTCTCCTTTCTCAGGGGGGAGGAAATACCGGAAGGCATACAGCTTGCAACGCGCAGAGAACAGGCGTAGGCGGTACATCTGGTCTGCTCCGGCTAGTGGTTCCAGGTTTGAACTCTGTGGTAAAATTCGGGCATATGTTATTAAACGAATGAAGTACAGATATAATGTGTTCTTCACAAACGAAAACAAATTTTAAACTCTTTATTGCGTCTTGCAGTTGCCCAGGAATTATTTGCATTGAAAAGTCAATACATAATAATCACATTACAAGACATTCTACCAGACATGGAATCAGTACAAGATCTAAGGATGAATCTAAAACTAAGATTACTTTCTGGAATCAATATTTCACAGATTGTAGTTCTCTGTCGAGGTTACACCAATACCCGAACTGTAAACTAAAATAACTTAAAATTTTAAATTGACTTCGCTTCTATTAACGATTAAACAGGTGATAGAAAGATATGAACAAATTGAAGGAAAACCGAGACATGGAAATGGTCAACTCTGCTAGGAATAGTATTTCACGAAGTATTAGCCATTGAACGTGACCATGCCATTGAACGTGACCATGTTGATGAGACCCACCAGGAAATCTTGGCACCTTACTGGGATAACCTTCTAGAACTTAAAACTAGACAGTCAATGGTTATGTCCTGAGATATAGGCCTGAATCCTTAAAGATAGTCCAGAGACAATCCTTAAACAATGGCCAGAGACAGACATTAACAGTATATCTGAGACAGACCTTGGGCCATCTTCCGTAGATCTTTCTGTTCTACTAAATTTCAAAGCAGAGACAAAGTGGGACATGAGTCCATTGATTACACATGGTTGTTTACTTACCGAGTCAACGAAGATGAAATTCAGATCAACGTCCATTAAGAGGTTGTAAAGCTTGGCCTGAAATAAAGTTCTTGTGATAAGCTTCTTTGTCCTTTTATCCGACTGTTTTTTCTTACATCTTACATAGAAATTGTAAAACTATTATACAAGCGTTAGTTGTTTTTTTGTTGTTGCAAACAGCGGTCAATCCTTAAACCGTGTCATCGATATTGACAGCTGTGCAACCAAGAAACGGTGAGAGGGACCTCGGTTTGCGGAAAGAATTGTTCATACACTTACCAGAGATATAAAGCCAGGTCCATATGCAGGTGTATAGGTTGAGGGGTGTGGTGTGGTGTGGTGTGGTGTGGTGTGGTGTGGTGTGGTGTGGTGTGGTGTGTGGTATGGTGTGGTGTGGTGTGGTGTGGTGTGGTGTGGTGTGGTGTGGTGTGGTATAGTGTGGTGTGGTATGGTGTGGTGTGGTGTGGTGTGGTGTGTGTTGTGTGGTGTGGTGTGTAGTGTGGTATGGTGTGGTGTGGTGTGTGTATGGTGTGGTGTATTGTGTTGTGATGTGGTGTGGTGTGGTGTGGTATGGTGTGGTATTGAGTTGTGATGGTGTGGTGTGGTATGGTGTGTTATGTTGTGGTGTGATGATGATGTGGTGTGGTGTGGTCTGGTATAGTGTGGTATGGTGTGGTGCCTTGTGGTGTATTGTGTTGTGTTGTGGTGTGATGTGGATGTGGTGTGGTGTGTGGTGTGTGTGGTGTGGTGTGTGGTGTGGTGTGGTATAGTGTGGTGTGGTGTGTGGTGTGGTGTGGTGTGGTGTGGTATGTGTGGTATGGTGTGGTGTGGTGTGTGGTGTAGTGTGGTGTGGTGTGTGTGTGTGTGTGGTATAGTGTGGTGCCGTATGGTGTATTGTGTTGTGTTGTGTTGTGGTGTGGTGTGGTGTGGTGTGTGGTGCCGTATGGTGTATTGTGTTGTGTTGTGGTATAGTGTGGGTATTGTAGTTGTGGTATGATGTGGATGTGGTGTGTGTGGTATTGTGTTGTGTTGTGATGAGATGTGGTGTGTGTGGTATAGTGTGGTGTGGTGGTGTTGGTATAGTGTGGTATGGTGTGTTGTATTGAGTTGTGATGTAGTGTTGTGTGGTGTGGTGTGGTATAGTGTGGTATGGTGTGATGTGGTGTGGTATGGTGTGGTGCCGTGTGGTGTATTGTGATGTGTGGTGTGGTGTGGTGTGGTGTGGTATAGTGTGGTATGGTGTGATGTGTGTCGTGTAGTGTGAAGGGTGTAGTAAATAGGATGCAGTGTGTAGTGTGTAGTGTGTCGGAACTAATGAGTATTATATGGTGTGTAGTATTTAATGTGTAGTGTGTGTCGTGTAGTGTGAAGGGTGTAGTAAATAGGATGCAGTGTGTAGTGTGTCGGAACTAATGAGTAATATATGGTGTGTAGTATTTAATGTGTAGTGTGTGTCGTGTAGTGTGAAGTATTATATGTGTAGTGTGTGTCGTGTAGTGTGAAGTGATACATTATTGAGACCAATTGTTTTTACTTTAAAAGACATATTTACGTAACATGAAGTATATTTAACTTGTTTACACACTGGCCAGTCATATAACTGTGTTCCAGCACCGCGGCGAGGCAGATCAGCAACATGTGCAGCCCTTCTAAAAGGAAAGATCCCCTAGTTGTTTCTCACGGTAAGTCTGGAATATCGCTAAGAGAGCCTAGAAATTAAAGCGTTTTCTCGTCAACACGAAAACCTGTGTTCGATTCCCCACAAGGGTACGATGTGTCAAAAGAATTTCTTGCATATTGCGTGATGCTGTCGGAATATTGCTGCAGCCAGCCTTTAACAAGCCGCGAGACCCTCAAGAGAAATCAGAGAGATGGAATATTTTAGAAAATTATTTGAACATATTTGATGTTGAATTTGCTTTAATTTAAATGAATAAAGATACTTTAGAAATGCCATGTAATCAACCTCCATCCCTAATCACTTGGATATTTTAAATAAAATAAAAATGGGATTTTGAGTTAAGCACTTAAGATCTTAATAACATTTGTTTTTTGGAATGACATATTTGATAAATGACAATTTGACAAGTAACAAGCCCATCATTAATCAACAATATCGATTGCAATTCAGATACAACGCCCTCTAGGTGAGACACGGAATTACTGACCACTTTAAGGAGCTGCTCTATCAGTCCGTCCTTGGCATCTCTGGGACTACACATCACCACCTGCTTCTGGCTGAGGAGCTGGAAGTTCCTCATGGCTTGCTTAATCATCTTCTTCCTTGGTTCTTTGGGGTCGATGGAGTAGGGGATGACAGAGATGCCTCGTCCAACCATCTGCTGTGCCAGGTCCTGACACTCTGAAGGATTGAGAGAATGAATGAAGTTAAGTTAAGAGTGAATGAGTGAGTGTGTTTGAAGGACACTTTTAGCAATACACCAGCAATATCACGGCTTGAGACACCAGCATTGGGCTTCACACATTGTACCCATGTGGGGAATCGAACCCGTGTCGAACTTTTCCGCTGAACTCCATGTTCTTAACGGTGTAGCCCGATGTCTCCTGTTCCAGCACACCTGGAGCAGACAGGGGGACGTCAGGGACGGCAACAAACACGGGAGGGAGGGGAGTGGTGTAAATATGGCACATTTAAGTCGGGAGTGAGTTTTGTTTTACGCTTTTAGCAATACACCAGCAATATCACGGCTTGAGACACCAGCAATGGGCTTCACACATTGTACCCATGTGGAGAATCGAAACCGGGTCTTCAGTGTGACGTACGGATGCTTTAATCCTGACTTAACCCACCTTCCAAGTTCAGTCAAGATGCATTTGCACTATGTTTCCTTTAAAACTGACTGAATAAACTGGAGTAGGCAAACATACATGTCAGGTAAAAAAAACCCCAAAATGTATAAATCAAAAGTGAAATTATCTAGCAAGCAATAAATTAAATGAAAAGTCATGAATAACATATGTACTGAATAGGCAGCATACAATTTCTGTTGTGTAGTGTGTTATTCACTTCTAACAGTAATCCTGAACACTAGTGAGTGAGTGAGTTTAGCTTTCCGCCGCTACGGGGGACACGAGAAATGGGGTCCACACATTGCACCCATGTGGGCAATCGAACCCGGGTCTTCGGCTGAACGAGGGAACGCTTTGACCGCTACGCTATCCCACCACCCCTGCTGACAAATAACCATGTTCCACGGACCTTGGTTGTCCGCCTCGTTTTTCGGCATCAGCATGACAGCACTCTCCCACTTCTCTATCTGGAACAGGTCGACCACCGCCATGTTCTGCTCCTGGGCTGGAGGGCGGATCTCCACCAGGGTGCGCCAGTCGGTGCGGTCCTGCACGCGCGACATGTCGATGTCTTTGAAACCTTTGTAGTCGGTGACCAAATATGGGATGTGGTTTTTCTCCAGGATCATGGCCAGGTTGGTATAGAATGGACCGATGATGAGGTTGAAGGTGGTTGACTCCCCAGCTTGTTTTGTTAAAGCTGAAATATTAAGATGGAGCTGAAGTGTTTGTGGAAAGCTACGAGATGGACAAAGAGAATCAAATTGTTATGTTTTTTACAAAACATGGTGACCAATTAGTCTTTAGATGTACAAACAATTTGTCAGAATGTCAGCAAATTCCATTTGAAGTTTACTGAGACATTTATGCTGGCCTTCCTCATTGATGACATCTGCGTTAGGAGGAAGCCTTTTTGGCACGAAGTAAGCATCCCTCCTGTGTCCCCCTTCCTGCTCTTCTGTTAATTTATGCATATGAATAAGAATTTCAGCTCCAAGTGCAAAGCCACAACAAAGTGAAAATACATAAGCGGCATAAATACGTGACAACCGATGACATCATTTTATAGTGTAGATTGATTTGTTGGTTGGTTGCTTAACGCCGGCGGTCTGTAAATAATCGAGTCTGGACCAGACAATCCAGTGATCAACGGCATGAGGATTATTCTATGCAACTGGAAACTGATTACATGTGTCAACCAAGTCAGCGAGCCTGACCAACCGATCCCGTTAGTCGCCTCTAGCGACAAGCATGGGTTACTGAAGACCAATTCTAGCCCGGATCTTCACGGGTCAAAGTGTGGATTGAGAGAGTGTCTTAAAATGTCGCGTTGAAAACTATTCCCGTCGCAACAGAATACAGGAAGCCAGATGTCCAATCTGCTCGAGCAGGCTGAAGGTCTTTTTCACTTCCATCAATAACTATAGTCTGTTTGCAGTGAAAACGTACCGGTGAATTTCATTTTAAATAAAAAAGTAAATCAAATTAAGTGAAATTAAGATTGCGAATCCTCATAATTTGACCTTGCCAAATGAACATTTAAATCTCAGAATTTTATTCAAATTAGGATAAAAGTTGTTTAACAAACGATCATAGTTTCAAATCGCTATGACTGGTTTGTATTACAAATGAAACGCCGAGAACATGTAGGGTTGGTCTAAGTTAACGCTCATCACGAACCGCACGTGCATTTGTTTTACTGTTCCCACTACTGCGCTTACCCCCTTGTAATATAAACCAATAGTAGCGATTTGAAACTCTGATTGTTTGTTAAACAACTTTTACCCTAAGCTGAATAAAATTCTGAGATTTAAATGTTCATTTGGCAAAGTCAAATTATGAGGATTCGCAATCTTAATTTTACTTTATTTGATTTACTTGTTTGTTTAAAGTGACATTCATCGGTACGTTTTCACTGCAGACGGACTATAACAACTAAATCTCCATCACTTCAGAGATCATTCGTCACCACTCGCCCCTTTCCGTAACCGGCTATTCGGCTTGTCCCGGAATAACACGAGTTGGTCACGAATGAGATGTCACCAGTATCACTGACATAATTATCACCGTGAAGATCTGGGTTAGAATTGGTCTTCAGCAGCCCATGCTTGTTGTTAGATCGGGTGGTCAGGCTCGGTGACTTGGTTTATATCATAAATCAAATATATGCATGGTTGCACGTGTCATTAATATTCACTAATCTGTGGTGTGCACGTGTCTGAGTGAATGATATACTCCTTGTATCGACCCCCTCATTGTATCAGTGGCAACACAATCCCCGTGGCCACGTTGTGTCTGTTAATAAGTGCATGGTAAAATTGATGAGAGAGCTGGTACTGTATGACAACAAATTGCACTCCTCTTGGTACAACTGTCTTGTTTGAAACAGCGCACATGCTGTGTCCACGGATATCAAATTACGGATGTGGAAATAATGTAATACTGTTTCTATTATTTTCACAAATAAAGGTATCCATTGATGATACCGGTTATAACTGGTATTCAGCAGCCAGTACTTGAAGGAGCTAACAGGATTGGGTGGCTCAATGATGCTCACTGACCTGGTTGTGTGAATGTGTGATTTTATGGCCGCATCCCCTCGATTGTGTGCATGTTTCCATAAGTTTGACGTTGGATTTAGAGAGAACTTGAAGCGTGAGCCTTCTGAATATTACTTCATCTTTACATTGAAACAGATATTTCCATCTTTACATTGAAACGTGAGCCATAACGTGTTTACATTGAAACAGATATTCCCATCTTTATATTGAAACGCGAGCGGCATGTACTTTACTTCATATTAACTTTGAAATAGATATTTCCATCTTTACATTCAAACGCGATCCATATGTAGTTGGCTTCATATTAGCTTTGAAGTAGATACTTTCATTTTTTACATCTAAACGCGAGCCATATACAATTTACTTCATATCAAATTTGAAGTAGATATTTTCGTCTTTACATTGAAACGTGAGCCATAATGTGTTTTCTTTGAAATACTTATTTTCATCTTTACATTGAAACACGAGCCATATGCGTTAACTTTGAAGTAGATGGTTTCATCTTTACATTTATACGCGAGCCATATGCAGTTGGTTTCATAGTAACTTTGAAGAGATATTTCAATCTTAGCATTGATATATGTGGTTCACTTCATATTAACTTTCAATTGAAATGTAACTCTTCTGTAGAATATATTATTTTTATTTTGAAATGCGAGCATCATGTAGGTAACACAATAATCGAGTCTGGACCAGGCAATCCAGTGATCAACAGCATGAGCATCATTCTACGCAATTGACTGACTGACTGACTGAGTTTAGTTTTACGCCGCTTTTAGCAATATTCCAGCAATATCACGGCGGGGGACACCAGAAATGGGCTTAACACATTGTGCCCATGTGGGGAATCGAACCCGGGTCTTCGGCGTGACGAGCCAACGCTTTAACCACTAGGCTACCCCACCGCCCCTCTACGCAATTGAGATACGATGACATGTGTCAACCACATCAGCGAGTCTGACCACCCGATCCCGTTAGTCGCCTCTTACGACAAGCATGGGCTGCTGAATTCTAACCCGGATCATCACGGGTTCATTCACATGAAAGGATAATTTTGATTTCATTATATATTACATTATTTTATGACATTTCATTATCATATTAGTGGTTGTGACCTGATACATTTTCAATCTGTGACACATCAATGACGTCAGGATGATTATTTTCAATAAATTACCTTGCTTCATCCCCTCCTCGATATCTGTCCACCCATCTGTGATAATACGGAGGTCTCTCTGGACGCCGAGCACCACGAAGTGGGGGTCATGGAAACACTGATGGACTTCTCCGCTGAACTCCATGTTCTTAACGGTGTAGCCCGAAGTCTCCTGTTCCAGCACACCTGGAGCAGACAGGGGGACGTCAGGGACGGCAACAAACACGGGAGGGAGGGGGAGTGGTGTAAATATGGCACATTTAAGTCGGGAGTGAGTTTTGTTTTACGCTTTTAGCAATACACCAGCAATATCACGGCGGGGGGACACCGGAATGGGCTTCACACGTTGTACCCGTGTGGGCAATCGAACCCGGGTCTTCGGCGTGACGATCGAACGCATTAACCACTAGGCTACCCCACCGCCCCCGACAGGTTAGAAGTAAATATGTCCGGCGAAACCTCGTTAATCCATACTACTGTTCCAGGTGAAATCGCCCGGCTTATTATCCTATTCAATATAAGTTAAAGAACACCCAAGTCACTGGGAATCGAGTGGTGATTATAATTTTTTTGAACAATGTATGTTGTAGTAACGAATTACGGATACGGGAAAATATGACCTTTGAACTGCCCAATAAACTACTCTGTATTTCACAGGGATACACTAAGAGTCTGGAGAGGAACATATGTGAATGGTTGTTCTGTCTCACGAATAGGATGCTGTTGGAGCTGGACCTGGCGCCTCTTACTTTAAGTTTCATTTCAAGTGATAATGAAAAGTAGACTTGATATACTTTGAAGTCTCTGCAGGCTAGCAGAGTATCGTTATCAGGAGCTGAAGAGCATACATGAACATTTCCGACGGCAATTGCAAAATGGACAGGTGAGTATTGGGCCAACTTAATAAAAGATAAAAGTCAGTCTGACAGTGGAGGTAAATATTCAGATCGGGAACGTCATCTCCAATTCAAAACTTCTTCTTCCCTATTCGCACCTGTCCTAAAGTAGACGGAATTTATATTTTAAAGAATAGAACAAAAGTATATTATAATAGAACTTTTCCCGCCCAACAAACCTTCACATTCCGCCCAACCCACAATCACATTTAAAACAGTTTTAAATAGACTAAAATAGACATGGTAATCACTGTAATCTTACTATATTCAATTTATTCTTATCATAATGATCGTCTGAATATTATCACTTTTGTGGACGCAAATCCAGAAAACGATTACTTTAATGAAATTCAGTGTTTAACTTGATTCTTAAGCTCCCATAAAGGAATTAACGGATCTACAGGAGAAATAAGAACAAGTGGAATATATTGTGTTTTGAGCATTCACCTTGTGGATGGATACGGCGCTTTATAAAGCTCATCATCATTATTATTATATTGACAAAGAACACTTCTTGAAGGCCTTGTTTCTTAAAAGATTCGAATTATTAACCTTTTTTTTATCATTTCTGATTATCATTTTGAACACTACTAGTATATATATCCAGCAGAACAAATAAAATGACGACATGCATCATTTATAATTCAAAATGTTCCTACTGAATTCCGACATATTATGTATATATTAGGTTATATACAACTTAATATTTAAACTTACCTATTGTAAGCGGCAGTTTCTTTTTGCTTGCTGTCTTTTTGCATCGTCCATCCGACTGTAGAACACACCACACACTAACGATCAGAAGTACCCTAATCAAATCCTCCAAAATCCGTTTAAATTCCATTTTTTTCTCAGATCAAAGGAAACTGTATCATTCAGTGATGGAAACAAACGTGGCCCACACGAGTCGTATATGTGATCTCCCAGCGCTCTACGTGATAGCTATGTGAACCGTTCCATTACGAATCCCACTCCGTCGGATGACGTCGACTGTTGTTCGTTCCGAATGTTATATCACTGTTCTGACTGCACCATGTAGCACGGATCTGACGGACATTTGAGGTTTAAGTTTCTATTTCAGGTGAGTAGATCTCTAACCATCGCCTCCATCCTGCGTTGTACTGTAACCAACTTATGATGTAGAATTTAAGCAGATATTCCAAAGTATGTTGTATAGTTTATGTCATTGCCACACCCGGGGTATTGATCGCTGATCTCCGTGACATGATTCACGCCCGATTGTTTTCACGCATAAACCAGCTCAACTCTTTGTCTTCATCAAGTTCTTCCAATGTCAAATTTCATTGGGAGTCAATGACTGGTATCCATCCCATGGTCCGGTGACTTGTTTTTGTGGCACCCCGGAGGTTTTTAATCTGCATTCATATCCAACAGTCCTGGCAAAATTGCCTAAGTAAATATCACACAGGTCATTAAGCAAATCAGGTTGAACTCTGCACGCTGTGGGACTGACGGCCAGGATTTCAATATGAAGCGTCTATTCCGGTGCCTCCTCCACTAGAGCGTCTAAAGCATCTGATATAACCTCCAATCGTCGGAACTGAGAGAGTAAAGGTTGCGCTCCTCCCAGAGGCTTCAAGGGTGGAATCATAGATTGGTTAATGGCACCGCGAGTATTTGTTAGTTCTCGTTGCTGCGTTGGTGTTGCTGTCTGTCAATTTATGTTTTCTCGTTTTGAGTGATCAAATACTATCGAAAGAGCTTTTGTAATTATTGTGTTATTGAGAACAATCTGAATATGATTGATTTGCCGACAGCAGCATTCATAAATCGATTTTTTTTCAGTTTTATTGTTTATATACAGGGAAATATGATTTGTTCTACTGATCTGTCCCGAGAGAACCTTTCAGAATGGGGACAGTGAGTTTTTGTTTCTTACACATACTAAAGTACATGTTACCTACATTGGCAAAGGATCCCCTTTAATCTGTCCGTGCGCCTGGTGTTGTATTTTATAGTTACACTCCTTTCATGCCATAGTCAGCCATATTACAGAGATGCCAAGGCGGAAAAAGAAATATGTTCAGTGTGTATGTTTGTTACCAGAATATATTCGTTCATTTGATGTGTACTTTTGATATACACACTGTATATGTAACGGTAGTATGGATCTCACTAAGCACAGGAAAAACGAACAGCGTTCTTCCGGTACATACGTTTTCCGGGTCAAGGGGGTTCTTAATGTCCAGTTTCATTTATGTTCTTCCTTTATCAAAACGTAAAACAAATTAAATTGTGCATACCAAGCGGATAACGTTAATACCTTAAACTATGTGTAGACATTGTCGGGAAAAGAGTATAGAGAAAATATTTTATGTGTGAATACTGTCTGTCTTTATTTACATCACCCCGAAAACAGGCTACCCTAAACAAACACGTAAAAGGTGTTTAATATAACAGGGGTAGCGTGTGTTGGCCGCGATACACGTCGCACGCCACCTTCTTATTTAGTCGCCAACTCTAAGTAAAAGGGCTTGAAGAATTCCTTCACTAAGCAGGTTTCCACTGCCTGAAGTCTGTTTGGCTGTCTTGCTGTCCAAGGACGCCTCCCAGTCTCGATCCAGACACATTTCCAGACATGCTCATCTGGCGCCATATTCGATGTCAAAGACGACAACAATCCACAGAGACCCGTGCTGTAGGGCGTGAGGGAGATTCGTCTGAGATTCGTCTGAGCCCACTTAACTGCAGTTGCTGTTGGGCCCACTTTAGACGCAGTTGCAGTTGGGCTCAGTGTAGACGCAGTTGGGCCTACTTTAGACGCAGTTACTGTTGGGCCCATTTAGAAGTAGTTGCTGTGGGGTCCACTTTAGACGCAGTTGCTGTTGGGCCCGCTTCAGATGTAATTGCTGTTGAGCCCACTTTAGACGCAGTTGCTGTTGGGTCCACTTTAGACCCAGTTGCAGTTGGGCTCAATTTAGATGTAGATGCTTTTCGGCCCACTTTAGACGCAGTTGTTGTTGGGCCCACTTTAGAAGTACATGTAGTTGCTGTGGGGCCCACTTAAGAAGTAGTTGCAGTTGGGCCCACTTTAGAAGTACACATGTAGTTGCAATCGGGCCCACTTTAGAAGTAGTTGCTGCTGTGCATACTAGAGACGCAGTTGCTGCTGGGCCCACTTTAGACGCTGTAGGCGATATTAGTCATGAATACATTGTCTGATTCCCGCTGCTGTAAGAGATTCTGACACAGGATGACTTGGACCGTGGGTAGTTGCCGCTGTCGGTGTTGCTCATCGCTGTCGGTCACGCAGATGTGTCACCATCCTGCGCTGGAGTAGTGACCATCGGCTCTCCAGTCGGTCTTGGTTACTGCCATTCTGTTTAGGTCTGATCTGGTGAAAGTAGGCAAATGACACTAAAGTTGACCCTGATCCAGCCTGTACCTTACCAGTGGCAACAGATAATTAAAACTTGTTTCCTGTCCTTTCCCACAGTCGAATGTGGTGGAATACTGGATGTTTCTAAGGGTGGACATTTTTTTACATGTGCATGAGACAAAATGACTGCGTTATTACAACGTGCTCAGTGGGACTCGTGTAAACAATGAACAGTGTTTCTTTATATTTTTCTTAAAATTGATGTATGTTTTTATACATTTCTATTCACAAACTATAAAACCCTTGATTTGCGTTTCATTTGTGGTTCAGTATACAAACATGATGACACACACGTCGGAAATACAGTAGAACTGGTTGTTCATTAGTGAGTGAGTGAGTTTGGTTTTACGCCGCTTTTAGCAATATTCCAGCAATATCACGACGGGGACACCAGAAATGGGGGCTGTTCATTAAAACGAATGTACATGTATATTATATGAACATCAGGAATCACGCATGATGTGAGTTTATGTTCAAGATCCACAATAATATGGCTGTTGTGTAATGATTTCATCAACAAAATATTTTGTCCATCACCATGGATGCTGCGTACATTTGTAGCGACCAGATGTGAACCTGTCTTACAATGTTTTCATTTCACGAGCAGTACAATCAATGAAAACCCACACACTAGAACTTGATATCTAATCGTATTATCTCACACTGGTATATCCGAACATTCATTTCTGACACTATTGTACCGAATGAATAGACGTTGCTAACTACTCGCAAATGATCACAAATCAATTCAATGTACTATTATTAAAAAACTCCTGTGGGTGTTGGGTACAGTACGAAGAGGATATCAAATATTTACCATGTATAGAAGTTCCTGTCAGTGTTTATCTCTGGGACGGCGCTCTGTGCCAGATTGGTGAAGGAACAGACTACTGAGGCTTGTGATGTATATAGAATGGATGTTCTAGTTTAGTGATGCACAATGCTATCACTTACAGGGAGTGAGTGAGTTTAGTTTTATGCCGCTTTTATCAATATTAACACCAGAAATGGGCTTCACATATTGCAGCCACGTGGGAATCGACCCGTGTCTTCGGCGTGAGGAGCGAACCCTTTGACCATTAGGCTAGCCAACCCCTTATCACTTATACCGTTAGCTGGTACTATACAGTCATTTTGGGGTTCGTTTGATATTACATATGAAAACGTAAACTGCATTCTGTAATAGTTTGACATTTGGAGGATATTGTTGATCCCATTCCGGAAAATATTTACATAAAATGCGCAGGAATTGGTAGAAGAAACCAAACTGAACTGCTAAGTAGCAGGTTCTTTCCTATGCATGACTACGTTTCAAAGTGCACTGTAGGCCAAATGGGCTGAAACTCAGATTCTTACACACAGTCACGGAGCCTTGCACAGCCAAGGGACGCAACTTTGCACAGACAATTTCCTTATACATGGCTCTTCTTCAATGTGGGATCTGATAGGTCAATATTTTTATTAGGTCTGTCGTTTTTCTTGCACTAGTGTACCGATGTTATTACGCGAATACTTGTCGAATGTTTGGATGACACTCTGCATAGTCTCGTACATGAATTTCGTGATCCTCTCCGAAGAGACAAAATGCACAAGCATTTGAAAATGATATTTGATGATCATGAAACGTGCAACCTTCCCTCATTTTCCTCTGTTCCCCGCTCCCAATCGCTCCACTGTTGGTCAAAGGCTGAAAACGTACCTCTTTCAACTGTAGTTGACAGAAAGAAGCCAAGTCAAGCTTATTTAGTGTAGGGATAGATATATAAATGTAACAGTTACGCAAGAAATTTACTTTTTGTTTTTAAGCACTAAATTTGATTATGGGTAAGAGAATAACCAACACGTAACTTGGAATATAACGTAATTTTATCATTTGGGAATTAAAGTAACAGATCCTAAGCTGACTCGGTATCGATTAAATTAATTGACATAGGAAAGATAACGTAATTTCTCTCATCTCGTTAGTTCTCATATTATTATATGTGCAGTCCAGACTAGCCCATGATACGCTGTAATCTTATTAATGTATCAACACGACAGACAGTTTCAGCTGCCATTAGTATAGAAACAGCACTTGCTTTAATCTTGCATAAATCCAGGTTAGGTAGAAAAATATCTCTCCACAAAGGTGTGCTGTGTTTTGATTCGGATTTCTATGGATTACCAAATTCACCGTACACACGCACGCACGCACGCATATATGTATATTTAGAGAAAGAGAGATTCGCCCCTTGTATAAAACAAGTGTCTTTGTGTGTGCACCTTACACCCACCCATGCGATTCCTTGGCATTGGTAGTCCTGTGACTTTGTTACCTTACACTGAACATGCACAAACATTGAACTCTGGGTATTAATCAGGCTTACTGATCTCATTATGCAAGGTTCCAGGAACAGTCACTTGGCCTGACATTCCACCTACGACTTTGACATTTAGCGCTATGTCAGTCGAGTGAAT